CACAAGGACGTGCGTCTTGCGGAGACTATCCTTGAAATTGCGTGCCTCGGAGCGCGCGTTCGCCTCGAGAGTGCGGAGGGTTTCGTAGTCCTCCTCCAGAGCCATCTCCTCGCGCTCCTTTTCGGTCTTGAGGAGGTCGACCGCGTGGAGGAGGGGATCGAGCTGCCTCTCGAGCGCCGCGACGCCCTCGATGACGCGCTCAAAGTCAAGCTCCTCGACGCGTCCGCCATCCGTTTCGAGCAGCTTCCTGCTACCGTTCTTGCCTCCCGTGGGCGGCGCCGAGGCCGGCGGGAAAGGCAGGCCGCGGGAGAGCTTCTTGAGGAGGCGGTTCGTGATGAGGTGGAGAGCGGAAGCGGCCTGGTCGCGGCGCTTCTCGCTGCCTGGGATGCGCTGGAGGACGGGGCGCTCGGCGAGGCGGAGGAGGTTGGAGACGATGGAGAGGGAGGGGTTCGTGAGCGGGGACCATTTCTCTTCTATTACGGAGCGGGGGACCTGGCGGACGCGGGCGGCGATGTGGCGGTGTTTGGGGGCCCGTCGGACCGCCTTTGGGGCTTCGGGTTTGGGTTGCTGTTGTTGCTGTTCTTGTTTCTCCTGTTGGATTTCGCCAGACGTGCGACGACGGCGTTTCTTCGCAGGTGCTGATGCCTCTACTGCATCGTCTTCCGTTGGACGCTTCTTGGATTTGCGCGCTTGCGAGGTTTCGTTCTGCGGGGATGCTGCATCTGAAGTTCGAGGACGGCCAGCCCGGCGACGTTGGGTATCTGGTGACGCCTCTTCCTCCTCCTCGCCCTTCTTCCGGCGCTTCTTGGTCGGGTTCTCAGCTGTCGTCTCTGCTGCTGGTACGGGCTGCTTCCCCTTGCGCCTCCGGCCTTCTTTCGGCTCTGACTGTGACACCTCCTGCGCCTCTGGTTCAGCTTGCGCTGAAGGGCGACCGCGTTTCCTTTTTACGGCCGCCGAGTCCTCTTCAGCTGGTGGTCCCTCCACCTCTTCTACTGTAACGTTTGCCTTGCGTCCGCGTTTCTTCTTGGGAGCGGCCTCAGCCTCCGCTTCCTCCTCAGGTGCAGGCTCTTCGACCTCGGAAACCTTTTCCTTGGGCTTTCTTCCCCATTTTTTGGGCGCAGCGTCCTCCTCGGCAGCTTGTGACGGTTCTTCGGCCGCTGGTTCCTTGTCTAGAGACGGTCGCCCACGCTTCTTCTTGGGGACCGGTTCTGGAGATACAGCCTCCTCGGGCTCCTCCTCTTCCGTAGGCTTTTCTGGTTGCCGTCCACGCTTCTTCTTGGCCGAATTGCTTGTGCCGGCCTCTTCTTCGTCCTGTGCCTCCTCGTTCGCCTCCTTTCTTGGCTTTCGGCCTGGTTTACCTCGTGAGGCGGGCTTTTCTCGTCGGCTTGTTGACCCGTTTCCGTCTGCCGCTTCCTCGTTGTCCTTCGATTTGCTCTTGTTGGCCTTTTTCGATTTCGGTTTCGCTTGCGCCGGTTCGGGCTCCTCCTCATTCGCTTCTTCCACTTCTGCTTCTATTGCTGCCTCGCGGGGTGGTCTGCCCCTCTTTTTGGTTTTCGGTTCCTCGGCGGGGGATGACACTTCAGTATCCTTTCGTTTGCTTGGGCGACCGCGTCTCCCTGGTGCCGGTGCTTCTTCTGTCTCTACAGCTTCGGGAGAACCTGGCAACGCGTCGGCCGACTTAGACGCGTTTGAGGGGCGCCCTCGTTTCCGCTTCTGGTCTGCGGCTTTGGGGGGCTACTATTGTGTCAGCTAGAGTCAGAAAGAACCAGAGTTGGAGGGCTTACCATTGTGATGTTTTGCGCTCACAATGTTATGTCGCAAGGGTGGACGTTGCCTCAAGGCGCATGCGAGCTTCCAGTGCCCTTCAGCATGTGAGCTTTCGACGTGTCCAGGTCCCCGCCAAATGGCCAGTACGTATCGGGTCCACAAGCCTCATGTGGCTGATGCACGCGAGACACCCAATCGTGGCTGCTGCAAGTACCCCGGACCGCCGTTCCACCTGGGCGACCCGAAATGACGCTGACCAGCAGCAAGCGCCAGTCCCATTTCGGTTAGACTGCGTGGAGAAGGACCTCTCTCTCGTTTCTATGGTGCGTGCTCCTGAGCTTCTAGCAGCGGGCGGGTTTCAGTGCTCTTCTGGATCCCCCAGGCGACCAAAGCTCCTTTGTTCCAGCCGGATCACCAACGGGACAAGGTTCAGGAGAAGCCACACGCTTTCCCCGAGTCCCAAAAGGGTCCCTCTCCAAACTGCCTGATTTCGCATCCGTGTCGGTATCCGTACTTAGGCTCCTCTTCCACTTTTTTCCCTCGCATCCAGACTCTGTGTCCTTTTTTTTCGTGTGTCCAAACTTCGCGCCGGAATCAGGTTGCCTGTATACTTTACCCTCGCCAACCCGTACTTATTGTCCCTCCTTGGTCCCTTGTTGTAATTACGCTTCCCCTCACTCATCATCTCTTGGCCGCTTGATCACGACATCCAAGCTACCACCTCCTTTCTCTCTACGCGAAGCGGCTTTCCCATCACACACATATACACAGCCATCATCAACATGCGCGTGTCTGCCACCACCCTTCTTGCGCTCCCGCTGCTTGCGACAGCGGCCGAGTCGCCCTTTGAGCAGTACAAGGCGCAGTTCCAGAACTTCCTGAGCTCCTTTGGCGCCTCCGCGCCCAGCGCTGAGAAGGCGGCCGCCCCCGAGGCCGCCGTGCCTGATGCGACCGCCGTCGACAAGAAGATCTCCGTCTTGACCGTCGAGAACTGGAAGGATGTTCTCTACGAGCCCGTCAAGGCTGATGCCACTACCCCTGAGGAGTGGTGGGTTCTGATCACTGGTCGTAACAAGACCTGCTTCGGTACGCTCCGCAAACCGCGCATCACATTGCTCCATGTACGAAGATATGCTAATTTCTACCTACAGGCCACTGCGATAAGATCGAGACTGCCTTTAACGAGTCTACCATCAAGTTCGCCAAGCTTCCCGAATCCCCTCACCTGGGTCTCCTTAACTGCGATGACCAGCCCGTCCTCTGCAACGCGTGGTCTGCCGGCACCGCCTCCATCTGGTCCATCGGTCTGTTGCCCCCTGGAGCCGACGTCGATGTCTACAGGAAGCGCCTGAACATCACCACCACCACCTCGGACGACATTGTCGACCTATGGAAGGCGCAGTCCAAGGAGGAGTGGATCCTGACGGATAACATTTTTCACCCCTTCAACAGCTGGATCGCCAAGAACAACCTGTCTGTCCCCGTTGGCTACGTCTTCTGGGCCTTTAACCTGGTCCCCAACTGGCTCTTCATGATCCTCGTCTCCTTTGGCAGCCGTACCCTGATGAACCGCCGCATGGGCAACACCTTTGATAACCGCGCCGCTGCCGCTGCTGGTGGTGCTCCTCCCGCTGCTGCCGCCCCTGCTGGTGGTGTTGCGCGGTAAAATGGACGAGTGGCTTAGGATAGGCAGTTGAAGAGAGGCTGGAGGGCACATTGGCATGGTTTTGAATATCCAGACAAATCCGCGGGCCGTTGCAATGATGCAGCTGAGATCCCTGGTCATTTGGATTAGATAGGGCCAAATTAGTAATCTTTAGTTGATCAACTTTTCCCGTCGCATGCATCTTGGACACTCTTGAGACCTTGAATGACGTCCTCTCCGAGCTTGGGGTTGGCGAGGCGTCCGTAGCGGAGATCGCTCATGCTGCCGACTGTCTGTTTGACCGACTCCATGAGTTTTGCTTCCTGAGCCTCTAGCTCCTGAATCTCTGCTTCGAGATCCGCTATCGCCGTATCCATCTCTGGGACGATGGAGTTAATTGTGTGTTTGGGATCTTGCGCCCCAGCCGCGCCAAACAGCTTTAACCTTCGTGTTAGAGACTCTGGTCCACAATGATAATATGCAGCACAATCACAAGAACGTACCACCCTCTCAATCTCAAGCTCCTGATCGGCATCCTCGGTTTTCGCACGTTTCTGGGCACGCGCAATCTCGCGCTTGATGATCCTCCCGTTCTTCTCCTCGTTCTCAATGTTTTCCGTGACCGTATCAACGAGCGCCCTCCTTTGGTGTTGCAGATCACGGTACAAGGAGCGGATTTGCGGGTTTGCGCGATGCGGTTTAGGGAAAAGCTCGGTGAATTCTTCGAGCGTGATGGCTGAGGGCAGCTGCGCCGGGACAGTCAGGTAGTTGTGCAGGATGGCGGCTTCGGTGGGCGCCATGATGGGTTGCGCTTGTGAGATGAGCTGCTTGGAAGACAATGAGTCCAGCGAGTGGCCGTTATAGTCGCAACAGCCCTCGACGATAAGATCTCTGACAGAAGGTATCCGTAATCTCTAACAAAAAGCAGGAGAGGGTAGGCTTAGATGGGAAGTCAGATATGTGAGCCTGTGAGGTAAGGTCATTGGGTAGGTAGAGAGTAAGGTAAGTAGGCATAGCAGGCGGGATGGGTGGCGCTTGGCTTGGGGCAGGCATGGAAGACGCGGTAGTTCTTGCGGGACGCGTTAATGAGCCGCAGCGCGTTTCACTCCGTAGGAAGAATCGACACACCTTGCCATCTTCACCTCATCCATCACGGTTGCACCTCACGAAGACGGCTCTACCCACGACGAAAGCAACACTGGGCAAGTTGCTGTTAAGCAAGCATACGAATTGCAGTAAGATTTAGTCTCATATCCTTTCATACTCGCTGTCAATCTTGCCTAGAAACTAATCAGTCCTCCAGCTTAATACCGTGTTAGCGACTCGATCAACACTGTCATCCGGATTGAGTGAGGTGTCACGACTGCTCACGATTCGTACTGTGCCAGTAGCCTCGAACTTGCGCCAACTGGTTCTGAAAGTGACTGTGTCTCGATCTTCAGCGCACTGTCCGAGAATTTAACCTCATTGCCCCTTTGGCGCATCAACCCTTCAACGACATCCAGGTTATCGCCAGAACCCTGCTGTCGATATTCTTTGCTGGAGCCTACTGAGTAGATACGCCAACCTACAGCCGCCTTATCCAATCATGGCGCCCGCACGCCAACCGCCCCAGCCCTTCTCCAAGGATGAGAAGGTTCTCTGTTTCCATGGTGAGATGCTATATGAGGCCAAGATTCTCGACATCCAGCCTGCCGAGAGTGGCGAAGGCTTCCAGTATCGCATTCACTACAAGGGCTGGAAGAACACTTGGGACGACTGGGTTTCTATCGATCGCATCCGCAAGTTCACAGAGGAGAATAAGGAGCTTGCCAGCCAGCTGCACGCCCAGATGAAGGACCTACGCCAGAAGAGCAGTGCCAAACCCCCCAAGAAGGGCAACCTTCGTGTCAATGGGACCGACTCAGCTCGCGGTAGTGAGGAGCGAACTGCAGGTGTCGCTGCCACTGGCCGTGGCCCTCGCCGGGCGAGAGATTTTGACCTCGAGCAGGTGAGTGCCAAAACCGAGTTTCTTTGTGTCTTGCTTTCTGTTCTGCGTTTGTTTCAATTTTTGGTTTCTCTCGATGTGCCATTATATTGGTCTCCAAGTAGAAGCTCATTGTGAAGTGAGCTTGAAACAAAGTCCGAAAGACGGGAAGGAGGAAGGAAACGATAGGGGGGTGAATGCCCTCATCAATGTGGGGCCATCAGCAAAGCTGGTCACCGAATACTTCCCGACCTCTTCACTGCCGGGCGGCTGGTATTCATTTAATCGAAGGAAGGAGCGTTGTGTGAATCAGCGTCCATCGAGGCACTTGCCGAAAAGGAATTTCCACCTTCCTGCCCCGACAAGTCTTCGCTGGTCAAACCTTTCTTCAACACCACACCTTCCACCGATTCCACACATTCCTCCCACATCCCACTCTTCTCTTTCCAAATCGCCGGTTCGATTTCCTATCCTCTCCCAGAAAACTCTCCTTTCTCCCATTCATCGCATTCATACCCATCACAACGTCTCGTGTCTTGCCTTGAAAATTTCAGGATACATCATCACAAACTTCATCAACAATCATCACTACCCTACTCAAGCTACAAGATGAGCTCCCCGGCTTGGGATAGCTTTGCTCGGGTGTACGACTGGGTTCTGTCGCAGCAGGCTGCGCAGTACTCTGGCGCTCAGCCCAACTACGCCTCTCCACCCCAACGCGGATTCATGTCTCGATTAGACTACGCCCGTCAACTTGCCCATTACCGTCACAACAACCCTGTTGGTCGGGCAGAGGATGCCAACGAACACGAATACCGACAAGATGTCGAAGCATCTCAAGGCGAATACATCGAGATCAAGACCGATTGCGCCAGTGACTTCGACTATGGCAATTACGAGACACCAGCTCCAGCCTCAGACGACTATCTGTATGGCGACGTCGACGTGATCAATCATCGCCCAAATCAGCACTATCAGCAACGCAAAAGACGTCAACCGGAGCCAGACTACGATGAGGAAGACGCGGCGTTTGAGCAGCATCACAAAAGGCGTCGAATGTATTCGGACGAGGACGAGGACGGGAATGTTAACTCTGATCTGCCCCGATACTACTTCAGGGAGGAGTATGACGAGTATGACGAAGAGGAGGCGGGAATGAACCAGAACCGATTGAAATATGAGGAGGAAGACGACGAAGTCAATGAAGAGGAGACGGGCGTGAACCGATTCGACTTTGAGGAAGATGAAGGTTTGAGGGACTACGACGACACTCTGAGCGAGAGGCAGTATCGGAACAACCTGTTCCGACAGCGACTCGAATCTGGCGAAGAAGATGACACTTTCCTACCCAACAGACGTCGGAAGTACATGTATAGTGAAGATGACTTCGATGGCTACGACGAGGCATCTGTTCGCCCACGCAAGAAGGTTCGCTGGGCTTCACCCGTGTACGAGGAAAATGAAGACGAGTTCTACCAAGCCGACAACGAAGATGAGGGAGACGAAGATCAGACAGTCGGGCGAGCCTCAGATTCCGATGGCGACGTGGAATCTGCCGACATCATCGACCTGATCAGTATTTCTAGCCATGAGACCGTTGGCAGCGACGACGACGACGATAGGACCAGCATAACCAGCGACTCCAGTATAGAATTCCTTGGGGAGCGTCCCGCGAATGCCAACATCGAGAACCAGCATGATCTACGACGCTTTCAAGATGGCGAGTCGGAAGATGCCAAGGATGTCGTCGAAGAGCTTTTGCAGAGGCCCTGCGGCACAAACAAGAGAAAGCGTGAGAACAGTGTGGAGATACTCCTCGAGTTCCGCCTTAATGTTCGACGTAGGCTGCAGTAGGCCGTGGGTGGCCCAACACACCAGCATCAGAAACATCCTGCTGGTTCCGCCTGTCTGGCAGGAACGGTCCCAGACTTCTCCTTCCCGCAGCACAATGAAGAGTTTCTGATCTTCTACCGAATTCCCGCCCTTTCTTTCTCGAACCATCCCCAAACACCAGCTTCTCATAGAACCACTGCACTCCACTCGCCACACGCTACACTGGCTCTTTACACACTCATCTCGTTCATCATGGCTTTTACGTCTCGCAAATCTCGGCCAGCCGAACCATTGCGTCGGCGACCTCAGCATGATCAAGTGGTGACCTGGAAGGAACCGCGCTTGCTGAGGGCTGATAACCTGACCCTCTCGCCTGCTCCCCGTGCCAGACCCTATGTCACAAAAGACGGCAAGCCCAACTATGACAATCGCTACGATACGAGCGTCACGACTCTCAAGCGAGAACAGCCTGCCCGGACGAAGTCGTCATCTGCTCGCTCTCCGGGAACGAGCGAGGAAGAACTTCCGATTGTGAGTTTACACAAACGCAATGCTTGCCCCAGTGGGAAGCTTCCGCATGTGCGGATTGAGGAGGACTACCATTGAGAGAAACCATTATCAATTCGACAGCCCAGCGCCCTGGAGGCTTTTTCTTTTCTTTTTTTTCTTTTTCTATTGCGCCATGCCTACTAATCGACACAAATACTAATATCACATACCAGGAGGATGGATTTCATGCACGCCCGTCCATTAAGCTTCCCATCCCTGATCACATCAAGGCGATGCTTGTTGACGACTGGGAGAACATCACCAAGAACAATCAGCTGGTCCCGCTTCCTCACCCTCACCCCGTTGACGACATTTTGAGCGACTACCTCAACTACGAGCGCCCGAACAGGGAAGATGGTTCTGCAAACATGGACATTCTTGAAGAAGTCGTTGCAGGACTTCGCGAGTACTTTGAGAAGTCTTTGAGCCGTATCTTACTGTACCGGTAAGTTTTCTGCTTGGATTTGGTATCTCGAACTCTACTGATCTCTCCATAGCTTTGAGCGACCCCAGTACCATGAGATTCGCAAGGTGTGGGAGAAGGCTGGTGAGGAAGACAAGCACAAGTCTGTCTGCGATACCTATGGACCTGAACACTTGTGCCGCCTGATGGGTAAGTCCATTCGAGACGCCTAGTCTGGCTTAGTACTGATTCAAGACAGTGTCTCTTCCCGAGCTCGTCGCTCAGACAAACATGGACCAGCAATCTGTGGCGCGTCTGCGTGAGGAACTCTCCAAGCTCACCGTCTGGCTCGGCAAGAACGCAAAGAACTACTTTGTCAGCGAATATGAGACCCCTTCTCAGGAGTATATCGACAAGGCTCGGAGCTTCTAGGCGGCCAGACCTCATCTTGCATCCCGAGTCAAATGGTCAGCCGACTAAACGGCAGACAGTTTGACGTTTCATCTTGACTTTTTCTTTGCATTGTTGGAATCCCAGCACCTGGTCATGCAGGCTTGGTGAGGGGTTTAGTTGGAGGTGTGGAAAATGGACATCCAGCATCTTTGTATCGCCTGCTAGTATCAGGCATACTCAACCGGTATGAGAGTTGAGATAGATAGTAATCATTGTTTTCTATTCGCAAAAGCATCCTTTCTTGACCCTTGTGTCTTGTGAGGCAAGTATACGAATATGGTCGCTGGTCCATCTGACTCGTCTCTTTCTTTGCAGTCTTCAGTAATCATGCAGGTAGTTGTCAACGCGACAAGTGAATCATGTGCCAATCAAGGAGACGAGCCCGAATCACCAGTGGTCTTGAGTGAACTTTTGTTTGATTCCAAGTAACTTGATGCAGACATCCTCGTCTACGTATGTTTGTTGTACAGTCCGCCATAATTTTGTACACTTTTTTCCGTGGTGATGATACACGATTTTGGCCTCTGCTGCGCCCGAGCTGTTGCTTTCCAGCCCAGTCATGCTCGAGGAACCTATCTCCTCTGACAACCCCGAACACCTATCCTCTCTTCGCCTCCCGTCCTCTATGTTTGGAAAATCCTTCTGAACCTCAACCCGTCTCTTACTTCACCCCCTTCCTATAGTCCCTTTACCGCGCAACAGCCTTCTCGACGTAGAAACCTGGGTCTGGCCTCCGCAGGTCGCGCATCTCGTGCTGGCTCATGGCGCGGTCGACCTCCTGGACCTTGACGAGCTCCTTGACCTTGATAATCATACCGGCGAACTGGGGGCTGACGGGGTGGAAGACGGTCTGGGAGCGGCGGCGGAGGCCGAGGGCCTCGAGGACGCCGCGGGTGCTCTTGGGGAGGCCGATGGCGGAGCGGTGGAGGGTGATGCGGAAGAAGGTCATGTTGGGCGGGTGATCGTGGCGGCGGTGTATTGTTTGAGATTAGGACAAGACGCGTAGGTATGGGTTTGGCTTCGTCGTCGAGGGAAGAGTGCTTGCGACGTGGGTTGTCGTGTGCTCCTTGCTCGTTCGATTAGGGATGGGTGATCACTTGTTTCTGTCGAGGTATTGATGTTAGCGCCTGTTCATGCAGTTCTTGAACAATCTGCAGGAGCCGGGGACGTATCGTACAATTGAGCCTCTGCTAAAGCAGTCTTTCCGTCGCAATGTCGTGGAATTTCAGGGAAGCGACCCGATACTGGATAGCTTTCCCAGCAATGCGATCGAAAGATCCAAAAATCACTAAGCTGGCGTTGGGAATTTCGATGGTCCGTGCGTCAGTCACGGGCGGAAGTTGCCAGGGCGTGGTCTACTTGAGGACGAGGTTCAGTGGTCTCCACTTATTTTGTCTTGTCTATACCCCTTAGGAGGGTTAAAATCGCAGTGAAAGGCCTCGCACTGAACACCCTCTTCGGGCTGCGAGATGCAGGTGAGCGGCGCAAGCAGTGTCTGGTCCTTTGGCTTGAGATTCTTTCCTCAGAGGGGGTTAATATTGCAGTGAAGGGGCGCCAGGACTAGATGGTTCGCCTCAGTAACTCGGCCGGCCATTACCTCTGCCTTCATCGGCCTAGCATGATTGAGACACTAAGGCTGCCTTAGCATACGCCTGTTGTCATCGCCTTGAGGTGGGTTTAAATCGCAGTGAAGACCACTAATGTCTCAACCGATAGATGCCTAGAGTGATTGCCTTGCAGGAGGTTCATACTACGTTGAATGGACTATGCGGACCAGAACTTCCCACGCTATTTTGCCCAAGTTACCCACCTACACTATGCTCGCAACCATTGGGCCTAGGCAGCATGGTCGGGAACTCTGATGGTCTGGCGGTTAACTCAGCCCAGCCTCGCCTTGCGATTCATCCCCTTGGAGAGAGTCGAAATCGCAGTGAAGGGCACCTCTTGGAATACAGCACACCTTTACCCTTGCACTTGCCACTATTGGCCAATTCGTAAGACTAATGGGTGCGGAATACGGATACGTGGATGGCATCAAGATGGCCCAGCCGGGCATCGGGTCTGGCGGTATTGGTTCACTGCGGGTGGTCGAAGACGGATAATTGTAGAACCATGTACAAGCCGTAAACCTTTGCGTTCAAGCTATGCGTCCACGGGGCGAAACCTGGGGGAAAGTTCTGTTGCAACAATATTCTCGATATGAGGTTCAGACTCCTCGTGGGCTCCGTTGTGTCTGGCGAGACCAGGCGCCTACCTATCTAAGTAGTTATCTTCGAGCTCGTGATTGAATGCAGAAGCAAGTTCGGCGTGCTAATGTTGGAAGAATTGCAATAACTAGACCGCGCTAGTGAGTGTAACTATCATGATCAATGACTCCTCGGCATGCGACGGCGTTCTCAAGTATCAACTCAAATACCGGAAACCCGCCCCCCCCCCCCCCCACAATGTTCTTTTTTGAAGAAGAATTATCCTTGATGAGATTTGCACACTCGGGGGACGGTTAATGTAGTTCGCAAACAACCCTTTCTAATAAATAAAACAACCTTTCTTATCTGACAACGCACGCTAACTACCTTACTCTCAGAGTCTTTCTGAGAAAGATTGTACCTACCTCACGAGTAACTAAGCCTATTATCAAGGGGACAGACAGTACAGCGAGACATTGCCCATTCAATACGGCCATGAAATACAACCCCCCACAACAACGTGATAGAAAGGCCACCAAATCCCTTCAACTCCTGGAATTTGCAAAGGAACCCTCCCCCTTTCTCTCTCTCTCTCTCTCTCGCAATGGACTAGCCAAATACACAACTCCCGAGAGCACATTTAAGCGCTCTCGATCTAAAGAGCCTACCGACTGCGATGATACATAACCAGGTATTCAAGCACTTTCTAGCTCCCGCCGTCTACTCGGCAAATCGTTTGTTCGAATCAGAATACCGATGGATGAACGCCATATCAGCAATTTGGAACAATGATTGCCGACAGAAGCTGCCGCTTTCCTTGAGTCTTGAGACATGCACGAGCAGCCCAAAAGCCGACACCATTCCGGGCCGGGTCACCAGTGCGGTCCGGACGACCCGACCAGTTCGACAGGCTCAATTTAAGCTTATCCCAGGGCTCCATCCGAACTGGTGTCGAACCGCCATCCAATCCCTGAAGAGATTGACGCTGCCGCCAGCGGGGCACAAGCGCGACCCTAATGTCTCGGAAGTACCCGACGTCGCGGTTGACAAGGCAGGTAGGTCGTCACTGTTCATGGCACGTCGAAAGCAATGCTTCAAAAGGTAATCGGGCAAAACCATTAGTATATCCCGGGGGACTGCGCAGCACTACACGTATATAGCTTGTCGTACAAGACGCCATTTAGCACACCATCATCCCTCGCATGACGTTAAAATCATAGACTCCATTTCTATAGCCACATCCCGTGGCAAACCGTAACCTTCCGCCGCTAACCGTTAAACCCTTACATCTGCACCTCCACTCTGCCCTCGGCGCCTGGTGCGCCGCCGCCGCCGAGCTGAGGAAGGATGTAGGTAATGTCGTCCCACGGGTGACGGTACAGACCAGTGCGGAGTCTCTTCTGGTCGAGGTAGTGGGCAATAAGACCGATGGAACGGCCGAGAACGAACAGACCGTTGAGGACACCCATCTTGAGGTAGTCCTCGGCCTCTTCGGAGGAGAAGGCACCGCAGTTGCGCATCAGGTCAACGAAGCAGACAGCAATGCAGCCATCGACGTTGAGAATGAGGTTGTCCTTCTTGGAGGTGGTGACGGTCTCGACAGCCAGGGCGTAGTCGAGAAGCTTGTGGGTGGGGAACTTGGCCTTGACGTACTCCTTGACAAGCTCGACACGGAGATCGGGGTTGTTGCGGGACTTGACACGGTGACCGATACCGGGGATGAGCTTGTTCGCCTTGCGCATGTTGTCGACGAACTCACGGGGGCTCAGGCCCTTGTCGAAGGCCTTGGTGAACTCCTCGGCGGCACCGTCAAGGGCACCACCGAAGCGGGAACCGATGGTCAGGAGACCAGCGACAAGGGAGGAGATAAGGTCCTTGCCGGCACGGGTGGTGATGATGGTGTTCATGGCACCGGACACGGCAGGGCCGTGGTCGGCAGTAAGCATGAGAACCATCTCGAGGAACTTGGAGGCGTAGGGGGGAAGGCGGCGGCGGAACCACAGAAGGGACATGACACCACCGATGCCAATCTCTTCCTTGAAAACGTCGGAAATGGGCATGCCTGCGTACAGGAGCTCCTGTCCACGGTCATCGGAAATGGTGGAGATGAAGGCAGCGGGCTTACGGATGAGACCGAGCTCCTGGGCCCAGGAGTAGTCGATGGGGATCTTGGGAACGACGGGCTCAGGCTGGGGCTTGATGGTGCCGTTCTTGACGAGGGAGTCGTAGAGAGCCTTGAGGACCTGGGGCATCTCCTCGAAGGTCTCGGGGACGTAGAAGCCAGCCTCCTTCATCTTCTCGTTCTTGGTCTTGGCCGTCTCCAGGGTGGAGTTGGCGAAGGCACCGGCGTGACCGAACTGAACCTCAGTCTTGAACATGCTGGCGCAGGTACCAATGGCCCAGGCAACGATGGGCTTGGTAATGACACCATCCTCAACGGCCTTGATGACCTTGTACTCCTCAACACCACCAACCTCACCGAGCAGGACGAGAATCTTGCAGTCGGGGTCGGCCTGGTATCTGAGCAAGTGGTCGATGAAGGTGGTTCCGGGGTATCTGTCACCACCAATGGCCACACCCTCGTAAACACCGTCGGTGTTGTTGGCGATAATGTTGTTGAGCTCGTTGGACATACCACCAGACTTGGAGACGTAACCAACGGAACCCTTGCGGTACAGCTTGGAAGCGACAATGTTGTCCATCATGCCACCAGTGTTACCGATCTTGAAGCAGCCAGGCTTGATACCACCAACAGTGGCGGGGCCAATGATGGTGATGCCCTTCTGCTGAGCCTTGTGGGCGATCTCACGAGCGCGCTTGCATTTTTGTTAGCGGGGTATGAATCCAGAGGGAAGAGACCGACTTACGCGCTCGGGGACACCCTCAGCAATGATGGCAATGGTCTTGATCTGGGGGAACTCCATCAACTCCATGGTGGAGGTGTAGACACTTCGGGAGGAGGCGAAGTTGACGACAACGTCAACGTCGGGGTGCTTGGCAATGGCCTTGGGGACCTCCTGGTAGACGGGCAGGAGAGTCTCGCTGGTTCCCCAGTACATCTTGGAGACGAACTGACCACCGAAAGTGTAGATGATACCGGCGACGGAGGGGGTCTTGCGCTTGCAGATGAAGTCGAAGTCGAGCATACCCTGGACGGCGCGGGGCTGCAGACCGTAGACGAAGCATCTGGTCTTGTCGTTGAACAGAGCGTGTTCGGGGAGAGGGCTCAAAGGACGGCTGGGAGCCGAGAAGCGTGTGATGTTGTCGTTGGCAGACAGGCCGCTGGCTGCCTTGGCGCCATTGGCACCGTTAGCGGGGGTGGTGGCCGAAGGCATTGTGAAGAAAGTCGAGCTTCGTCGGGGAGGATGAGAGTCTCAGCAAGGGAAGAAGAAAAAAGATTCTGGCGAGGGGTAACAAGGTCAGCAAGCTTGTTCGAAACAGACAATGGGCGCCAGAAACAAGTCTATGGATGTCTGCCCGCGAGAGAGATGAAGGAGAAAGATGTCCAAAGTAAGGATTGGAAAGGTTGAAGGTGGAGGAGGAGGAGGATGAGTAGTAAGAGGAAGTTTGGTGGAAAACAAACGAGTCGGAATTATGGTGGGGAGAAGGTGAGATTTCAGGAGGGACTCGGAGAGACGACAGTTCGCTCAGGGAAGCTGAAATCGTTGGATCTGCGAGGCTACATGCTCATCGGCAGCTGGGGACACCACCAGACATTAAGTGGACCTTTGTAGCTGGCGTAGCCCCAGCTCCTTGGTGGGAGAGACTTTTTTTTTTGGTCCTGGTCGTGTCTGATGCGATGTGCGGCGGCGAGCGGGTGTGGAAGTGACATGAGGTGTGTGTGAAGCGTTCGGAGGTGGGAAAGAGGCGTCGGAGGGGCAGGATTGACATGACCGGGGTGGGTAGGATTCGGGGAGCGGTAACTGACCTAGGCGGTGATGCTGTTGTCTGTCTACCCTGGTATGGGTGTAGGTATTGATGGGATCAAGCAGCGGCGCACAACGGCAAAGTCCAGCTTCTTTTTTTGTCGAGCTGACGGAGGAGAGATCCTTTTGTGAGAAAAGGGATTGGCGTGGGGGTAAGAGAGAGAGAGAGAGAGAAAAGGAAGCTTCTCAGGAGCAGCAAGAGGGTGAGAAGAAGGAGGGAAGGAGAGGAAAAGCGAGAGAGAGAGAGAGAGTCGAGTGACAGTGAGCGAGGGTCGGAGGAGAAGAAGGAGGACGGAGGTCGGGTATCGTAAGTAGTTGAGGAGCACGGAGACGGGCCACCAGCAGGGTGTGAGTTTTTGGTGAGGTGGAATTAGTATTTTTCCAAGTATTGTTTTCCATGGACCATGGTTCTCTCTGTCCTTTCTTTGCTTTTTGCTAGTGTACGTCGGATTCTCTCCAGCGGAAATCGGCAAGGGAGTGGGAGGAACGAACGAACGGTGTGCTGTGCGTATGTAGTGCGTGGTGCGTGGTGCGGACAAAGTACATACATGGCGGTGCGCGGGTGCGTCTTGCGTTTGTGTGAGGTGATGGTGAGCAGGGATTGTTTTTGGTGGGCTTGCGTCCCAAGTATCCGAGGGAGCAACGCAACGAGCAACAAGAGAGGAAGGGACAGGTCCGCGTTCGAGTCAAAGTCAACTTTTGGAAAGAGGTACCTCTGATACTTGGCACTTGCCCAAGCATACACGACCATGTAGAGTACCTTCCATTACCCAACTAAAGGTAGGGTAAGGTAAGCTATCCGTATCTGTCTGTACACGTCCTTATCGAGACAAGACCAGATTAGGTACCTTGGCTCTAGATTAGAAAGAAAAAAGGGCCAATCCCAATCCCAATTATGGCTGGTCACCAACAATGCCAAACAATGCTTTGCAGCCGCAGGAACAGAACGGGCGGGCAGAAAGTGGTGAACCAGAAGCAACGGATGGGTTGACTCTGTGGTTGTGGACTTCCATTGTAGTGAAGGGGTACGGGTGAGCTAAGGTACCTTGCGGAGGGGTCCTCGACATCGGCAAGTACCTAGGCAAGGTACGGGCGATCAGTATGGCCGGCACTGCGTCGGGTCAGGTACTTCGCACAGGGCCCGGTAGATTTTCTTGGGACGGCTTGACGGCGCAGTGACACACAACTCTGCCAAAGTCGGGCCATTAGGACTCTGAGAGAGAAGCCTGAGACTTTTTTTTCTCTTGGGTTTGAGGGGTGCGTGGTGCGTGGTGGTGCGTGGAATGGAGGGGTGATGGGGAATGGGAATTGAGAAAATGGAGACTTCCGTCATGCGACGGCCGAAAGAGTTGGGGAAGTTCCCGACCAATGCCGCCAAATGATTGGCCCGTGGATTGTTGAAGTGTTGAATTGGCCAGCGGGCAGGGAAGGGAAAAGGCGAAAAAAGGGAGATGCGATGGGACCGCCCAAAGGCACATAGCTCACGCACCAACCAGGCAAACGGGCAAGGACCCTTGGCCCCCGCTTGTTTCTGGCGAACCCCACACAACCTCACCTCACTGGGTACCTTACCTTACGGACTACGTACCGCAAGGTCCCAGAAAAAAGGTCCCGGTAGGAAATCTGAGCTAAGGTGCTTGCGCCCCATGGACAGGGTGAAGAAAAGACTTGCACAGGGAAGCAAGGCCGTACCTGGGGGGCGCTAGACTGCTAGTGGCCAAGCACCTTGCCAAAATTGGAGCTCACCTCACCTAAATGCTCATGCTCATGCTCTCTCTCTGTGCCCCAAAGGAAGCTGCCCTGTCCCACAACTGCCTGGCACTTACTGCCCTGAGGTGGGCTGGACCTGAGCTTGAGCCCAGACGGACGCTGCAACTGCGGATAGACCAGGTACCGGTACCAGCTCCATCCGCGGACGGGCTGGTCTGCGTACCTGCACAAGCCCTGACTCTCACAGTCTTTTTCGGCGCCTTCCCTTCTCTTCTTCCTATATTGGTGCAACTTGCACCTCTCAGAAACATTAGGCAGAAACAGATGGAACAGACAGAGCAAGCGCACAACGATAAGATCCAGATCCCATCATCCGACAGACGGACACTTGACCTCAAAGGGAACTCGTCCAGTGAGACGGGCGGTGTCCGCCCGCCGGTCACCGCAATGTCAGTGTCAATATCGAATGGCGGTTGTGTCTCTATCTGCTCTCAATTGGATGTTCCAAGTTCCGGGAGCTCCCCCCGCCCCGACCAGTCCAAGTTGAGACCAAGTCGGCTCGGCTGGCACTGGCGCTTGACCGCCAACAATACCTCTCTTGTCGGGAGGCGCCCAAAGCTCTCTCTCTCTCTCTCTTATCGTACCTTGACGCACCAGGGCATTCGGGAATGCAGCAGCCTGCACCTTGGTTTGACCGCACCTTGAGTCTCGCCCAATGGCCTCGGACTGGATTGTCAGGGAGGATCAACATTCGCCAACTTGGCCGCCGGGATGGCTTCTGGGATTGTAATCAATCTGAACACGACTGGTTTACACGCACACGCCTATCCAGACACCGTTGATACTAGGTATACAACCACACAACCAACATCAGGGCTTACACCGTCAGGTAGAGGCACTGGAAGGCTCGCCTGTCTGAGTGGGGGCGAGGCGGTCACTAAAACAGCCTCGCCTCCTTGCCCGTATTCCTTCCATCGCTGCATGCGAACGGAGGGTGGTTGCTGTCAGCCAAGGGAATCGAGGTATTATTTCGAAGCCTGTGTGGGATTTTGTGTGCGTGAGAATGAGAAATGGGGAAGAGACGATGTTGTGCATCCATCCAGATCCAGGTATGTACGGGTACAAGGCCACTTGGGATGATGCACTACCTTACTCTATTCGACCAAAGAGGGAAGAGAAGCAGCAGCAAGATACCCGCTTGAGAGAAAATTCAGATGCAAAAAATCAAGGACATTGCAGATGCCAGACGGAACAAGGCGGCGATAGTCGTAAATGCGAAGCGCCGCGAAGAAACCACGGCCGAAACAGACCGGCGACGGCGACGGAGATGAAAAAAAAAATAAAAAAGCACTCAAAAGACTCGCGCGCCTAGGACAAGCAGAGAAGGACAGAGGAAAAAGACCCAAACGGGCATTTCAGCACCCATGCTCGCATTCCCCGAAACCCGGCATGCCGCATCCACCTCCGCCGGTTTTCGGTCCTCCCCATCGTCACTCCGCCGACCACCGGGCATTGCGCGCCTTCATCTTGGAGATACCCGAGTGTGTGTACTGCGTACGGATGCGCGAGTAATAGCAGCTGTTCTGGCATCTTCCCACTCACACTCGTACGGGAACACGAACGGCCATGGCTAATGGCCCCTTGTCGTAGCTTGGGGATCTGGTTTTCGAAAATGACAGGGCCAGGTAGGTCATGCTGAGCGAGCCTAAGCATTGCTAGGTGCAGGTGGGCAACAGGAGCGAAGAATGAGTAGGGGTTGATGTGCCGTCTGACCAGGCAGTCCAACGTCTCACTCGAGGTTGATTTGATGACTGTGCTTGGTCGTCGTCCCAGGTGCCAATCCCAGCGCCATGGCTAATTACGGCGCCAATGCCCGGTTCCTGGACCAATTTGTGTCTCCGTACTTTGACTGACACCGAATTTGGGGGGATCTGACCTGACATCCGGGCTACCGTCCGTTGTCCCACGCACGAGATGAGAAACGTCCGAAATCACATAGTCATCCCGCGGCGCTCGAGTGCGCCCGAATCGGTAGTACTGGAAACGCGACTCTCAGTCTCCCGCTGGCTGCTGGTGGATAAACAACGGCTTTTTTTGTGTTTTCTTTCCTTCCTTCTCTCGGTTCGTTTTGGGCAAGGGGCCTGATCCTGATCTCGATCGGATACGGGGGACAGACAGAAACAGAAACAGACCACCCCCAATTTCCCAAGGTAAGGTAAGGTACGGATAGGCAACCCCAACCCACGAGAATGGAGAATCGTCTGGAAGCATTGGAAGACCACAGCCGGTGTAAGCGACGAAGCGACGAGGATGATGCGCCGTACCGCTTCGCACCGCACCGGCAACGTTCCCCAAGCCCCATCCAGCAGCCAGCAGCCAGCAGTCTGTCTTCCGCCCTGTCCCGTTCGGCTGTGGTGCACCTGCACTATGTTGATGGACCATGTTGGAATCTGTGAAGGGTGAGGTTGATGAGCACAACAATGCAGCACCTAGGTGTATGTAAAAATGGCGGTCCCTGCGATTTTCGGCGGACATTCTGGCGCTGGGGTTGCATCGATCCATCATCCGGGAAAGGGCGGGAGAGGTGGTGGTCCAACACTTCCATGCTGTGGACGGAGTACTGCCACGACTGTGTGGTGCGTGTAGCTGTATGTAAAAATGCCGCCCTTGCGCCGCCTGGGAGGCAAAATCGATAATTGTTGCCGTCCATTTCGTTAGGTTTCTCTTTGCCCATTTCCCGTCCTCTCCTAGAGATTCTCACTCGGTCTTCCTTGGTCTTCAGAGCCTGCAATATTGTCAGTGAGTGAGCACCTCAGAGTGACTTTCCAAAAGGTACGAGACGAGATCCACTTAAACCTCTCAACAACCACTGCCTGTCTCTTTTTTTCATCCACCTTTCCCAAATCCCCCCTCCCCAGACTTTTTTTTTTTTCGTTAGGTTCCATCTTGGTCGAATTCCCCTGCCCTGCCAGCATTTTCCTTCTCAACCCCTCCATCCCTTTATTGCGTACCTTGTTGCAATCCAACCGGCAAGATTGTCGCCAATTTCGAGGTGAGTCCAACAAGAAGAAGGAGAGGGAAAGGTATAGGGCAGATAGGGCAGGTACAGATACAGGTACTTGCCTATGCTGTCCGTTGCCCCTTCCCTCCCGGTTCAGTACCTTAGCACCTGCACTTTCCCACCCGTTTTTCCCTCGCAGTCGTTCTTGCTTTTTGCGGATATGTCGAGTGTGCCCCTGTAAGGTGTCGTGTGTTCTGCCACCGCCATCGAGGGGTAGCGTGCATGGACAGCTGGGCTGGAGCTCCCCGAATTCCCACCCCCCTCTCAAAAATACACCCGGTCCCCAAAAATACTTTCCCCTCCCCCCAGTTCTTTTTTTTCCCTCTCCCGGAGCTTGCGAGAGATTCTCACAGGTGTCTGGTTCCAATGCACCTCACTGCACCGCACAACCACAACACGCACCACCCCAAAACTTTTTGGCGTGGTCCCTTAGCTCCCTCAAGGTGCAAAGGTGAAAATCCACCGATTTTCAAAGCCACCAAAACGATCCCGGTCGGTACCTGGGCGCGCTTCGTTGCCCCAAGATGTACCTCCCGTCCCTCTCCCGTCACTTTCTCACCCCTCCCCCTCCCACCCACCACACCACCGTCACACACACACACACGCACACCCACCCCCTCCTCCTTCGTCCGCTCTTCCTGCTCTTCCTCTCCCCGAAGTCCCAGCAACAAATAATCCCTGGGAGCTTCGACAGAATCCAAAATTTTGAAAGGCTGACGATCTTCTCCCTCTCTCTCCACGCACCAGCACAGCTTCTCTCCTTCCACTCCATTCCTCCCACTCCCCAATCCATACTTCTCCTTCAACCTCGCCGCTTCTTTCTTCCCTCACACACCGCTCTGCTTGACTCGACTCGACTTCGATTCGACCTCCGATTCCTGACATTCACTTGATTTCAGGTCTTCACCACAACTTCGTCCCCAGACTTCGACTTCGTCGCCTGGTCGCACTTGCTCTCTCTCTCTCGGTATGTTCTCACTGCAGCCAAACACTCTTCCAAAGCTCAATCTTGTCGCCTCGTCTTTCCCCATCCCAGCCGAGTCTCCAGTTGGATCGTGAGAGCCCCTCTTCCAGAGCTCGGCGCGAACATCTGGAGCCTTCCGCTTGCTTGCCGTGGTGACATTTGCCGCCCACGAAGCTCCTTACCAGAAGCTCAGCCAGTTGAAAGAAAGTCTGCTGCTTGCTGACGGGCAGCGGAACTCCAAACTCCACCTCCGAGCCACACAAATATACTTCGTTTTCCAAAGGCAATCGCTGACCAGTCCGCTCCCAATTCAGGCAAAATAAAGCAGGGAAAAGAACTCTCAAGAAAACTCACCTCTTTCTCACCTCACAACCGCCAGAATGTCCGCCAAGTCCATCCTCGAGGCCGACGGCAAGGCTATCCTCAACTACCACCTCACCCGCGCTCCCGTCATCAAGGCCTCTCCTCTTCCCGTCCCCACCAAGCACAACCCTCCCCCCAGGTTGTGCTCTCTGCACTTCCCCGAGGATGCCAACGTCGAGGATGTCCTCAACCAGGCCGAGGTCACCTACCCCTGGGTTCTCCAGCCCGGTGTCAAGTTCGTCGCCAAGCCCGATCAATTGATCAAGCGCCGTGGCAAGAGCGGTCTCCTGGCCCTCAACAAGACCTGGCCCGAGGCTCGCGCCTGGATCGCCGAGCGTGCTGGTAAGGAGCAGAAGGTCGAGACCGTCACTGGTGTCCTGCGCCAATTCCTCGTCGAGCCCTTCGTTCCCCACCCTCAAGACACCGAGTACTACATCAACATCATGTCCGTCAGAGATGTAAGTTTTGTCGCAGATTTCCTCCCCTTTTGAGCTGGCGGTTGCTTTGTGGCAGCAGCAGCAGCAGCAGCAGCAGATCATTCGTGGCGAGGCATGGCGTGGCGGGCCGTCTTCTCCAATTCGTTGGCGGGGCCGGAGTGGGCAGTCCATCCATCAATGAGTCGCGCGGGTGTGAAAACACCAACGCATCATCACACTGCAAAAGTGAAACTCATCGACGGTTGAAAGTGAGAATAACTGGAAGAAAACTTTGTTTGGCAACCGTGGAAAGGGAATTTGCATGCTTTATGCCATTTCCTATCCATGGGTCAAATAAGTGGATTCCGGCCGCTGGACTGCCCTTTCCGGTAATTTTTCTCCCGAACCGGACGAACGGATGCCACGAGACGAGGCCTGTGGCCCGTCCACCCCGTCCACCCATGCCTCTTGCAGAAGTTGCCATATGCATACGACGGCCCTTATGCCTCATCTGTCGAAACCCTCACATAAATCATCGATGCTAATCATGGATTTCCGATAGGGCGACTGGATCCTCTTCACTCACGAGGGTGGTGTTGATGTCGGTGATGTTGACGCCAAGGCTGAGAAGCTCTTGATCCCCGTCGACCTCTCACAATACCCTTCCAACGACGAGATCGCCGCGTCTCTGTTGAAGAAGGTCCCCAAGGGCGTTCACAACGTGCTGGTTGACTTCATCACCCGGTTGTACGCCGTCTACGTCGAGTGCCAGTTCACCTACCTCGAGATCAACCCCCTCGTTGTCATCCCCAACGAGGATGCCACCTCCGCCTCTGTGCACTTCCTCGATCTTGCTGCCAAGCTCGACCAGACCGCCGACTTCGAGTGCGGTGTCAAGTGGGCTATTGCCCGCTCCCCTGCCGCTCTCGGCCTGACCAACGTCGCCGCCGCCAACGGCGAGAAGGTCAACATCGATGCCGGCCCGCCGATGGAGTTCCCCGCTCCCTTCGGTCGTGAGCTGACCAAGGAGGAGGCCTACATTGCCGACCTTGACGCCAAGACCGGTGCCTCCCTCAAGCTTACCGTCCTCAACCCCAACGGACGTATCTGGACTCTGGTCGCTGGTGGTGGTGCTTCCGTCGTCTACGCCGATGCCATTGCCTCTTCCGGTTTCGCCGACGAGCTCGCCAACTACGGTGAGTACTCTGGTGCTCCCACCGAGTCTCAGACCTACCACTACGCCCGCACCGTCCTCGACCTCATGCTCCGCGCTCCTCTGACCGACGAGGGCAAGGTCCTCTTCATTGGTGGTGGTATCGCCAACTTCACCAACGTCGCCAGCACATTCAAGGGTGTCATCCGCGCCCTCCGCGACTACGCCAAGCAGCTCAACGAGCACAAGGTCCAGATCTGGGTCCGTCGTGCCGGCCCCAACTACCAGGAGGGTCTCAAGAACATGAAGGCTGCCACCCAAGAACTTGGCCTGAACGCCAAGATCTTCGGCCCCGAGATGCACGTCTCCGGTATCGTGCCCCTGGCCCTCGTCCCCGGCAGATGGGAGGCCAGCGGCGCTGAGGAGTTCAGAGGTTAAACGGTATAAATGAAATGAAATATGTGTGTTTGGGGGAGTGGACTTGGAGAGCCATAGTTCTGGTATTACGGGTTTAGACGAAAGGAAAGTTTTTGCCTGGTACTTGGAATGGCATCTTGCCCACTTTCTTGTACGCTTGCAAAGTTTACGGTGTTTATGACGGCTGGTGCAACAAATGCTCTTGACAGGAAGGTCGAGGGCCGGGTCCTTGTATCGTATGTATGGAGGGCATGGTCGACGATCAGATGAGCAAATAATTAGACGCTCTGTAATGTGATCTTGACTAGAGGTTCAATGCTTGTTTTTCGTTTCAATGTTGTTGTGACTCAAAGTGATTAAAGCAATGTTCGTCTAGTGTGTGTGCGTGTGGGTGTTGAGTCATCAATTTAAGATAATGTCAAAGACTATTGATATTCCTATGTCAAGCTGGCCGACTGATCATACCCAAAGGGAGGGAGAGCCTATCTTTTGTCTCATTTATATAGAGATAGAAAGGCAGGTATCCCGTCCTTGGGCTCCCTGAACAAAGTGACGTAGCATGTACGGTCTTTTGCAGATGGAAACGGCATCCCAAGCTCTTTTTATTGCGCTCGTAGAATGGCTGGTGGTTGTGGTTCCTTCCAAGCCCCCATCTTATTCAGTCCTCTTCATAGACGTATATATATAGTCCCTTGACGTACTCTAGATGCCACGCGCGCTTCGTCCCTTGCGTCTCCTGTTATGACTCTTGTTAAGAAAAGGCAATAAGGGTATTTAGCTTTTGCACAATATCGAGAGTTCCCGGCTCTATAACGGACATGATTAGTTCGACCAAGACGACCATGAATTGGCGAACTTTCAGTATGTTCACGGCCGAGGATGACTTGGAGGAAACATTTGAACGCGAAAAGAAGGATTAACATTTTCAAATTTATCGTCTAGGCGCGAAACCAGTCCGTTGTCGAACGATGATGGGATCTGGATAAGATGATCGCTGATCTTGTTACCTTGGAGAGCCACAGCCTGGCTAAGATAAGGCCTGCCTGTTCTGGATCAAGTTCATGGCTTAAGAGGTAAGTGTTTGTAAGTATCTATATCTATAGAATCTCATCGCTATAAAGCAATTTAGTTCTTTGCCGTTACTTCTTTCAACGTAAAGTCTCAACCCATCCACTTTGCTTTAAACGTAAATGTATATGCTCTTTACATAACCCAACACCACACTCCATCGTTTCACCTTGTATCACTCGCTTTTACACACCTTCCAGTGAAGCGTGGTTAGTGACAGCGTGTAGAGTGCTTGATAAAGAGGCTGGACTGGGGCGAGGAAGGTGGCAAAAGGCCCTTTTCATGGAGCAGATCTCCTTTTTACCCTTGAGCTTCAGACTGTTAAAACAGAGAGGATTAGCAGCGATAATTTTGACAACAGGGCCAAGGGGCTCTATAATCTCAGAGCTACGGTAGGATATAAAAGCAATACACGTTCTGGTTTGTGATTACATAGTTAGCCTTTTTTCCTCTTACTTGGGGAGATTATTATTATCAATAAGTCACAGTATAGTCAAGCTGAGAGGAGGCTGCTTATTTGATCCTGTTTAAGAGCCAGATTAATCTATAAAGATGAGATACGTTTTGGCTTGCAGGGAGCTTTTGCCACTTTCGCCCGCCGCAAAGTCTGTGAAGGACACCATTCAGTTTCACAAGGCCGAGATGACATTCCTCCACGGCCAAGGTAGTATATAAAGAACAAGACTATTCCAGTCTGTTGAAAGCTTTCGTTGCTCTTACCTAGGAATATCAAACAACGCCACGGGCAGGCACCTTACAATGGGATCAATCGGGTCTTGATCTTACACACTATCCATCTTGGATACGTCTGCTTAAGGTCAAAGTTCTTTTTATGATTTCAAAGTAGTAAGTCTCACGTTCCTTCCTTAATACTCCCTGTCTTCTCGCTATTTCTATAACAATCACTGACCATCTCGCTCAAGCCCTACATTCACGAATACGTCCAGGGCTGAAAGAACGTGACGGAGCGAACGGATCTCAGGGGGTTCAAACTCGACTTCTCTCCTTTTCCATGACGTTCAAAGGTCGGCATGGGCTAACGTAGATTGATGCCCTCCACCTCCGGGGCACACAGCTTCTAGAGACATGAGCCCAGCGCCCACCAGCATCTTGATGCCCCCCCTGCCAATCATATCCCGTGAGTACGTTATTTATATACGACGATACAGAATAGGCTGTCTCAGACGTGAGATCATACATCCAGATGCCCAAGATGTCTCTCTCAAACTATCGTGATACGTACGATCGCGAACCATCGCCAGTGTCAAGTTAGACTAATTGGAAGGGTTTAGCTTGCACAATATTCAAGCACTCATCACATATGACACGCCATAGCTCAAGTCTTAATAAGTATCAATTGAGGTTTATAAACAAACCGCGGGGAATCTATGATGCCAGAAAGAAACCAAGTCATTACCTCCAAACCTTCCTAATGAGCCACATACAACATCCAGCGTACGCTTCCAGAGCTTTTACAAGAACAAAAGAGCAAGCAGAGGTGCAGCAAGAGCGGCAACCTCGGGGCGCACTGCGATGCCGGCATTGGGGGTGGTGCTCGACGAAGGGGTGGAAGTGCCGGTAGGGGTGGAGGTGCCGGTGGCAGCAGGAATAGTGGTACCGCCAGTGTTAGTGCCGGGAGTGTTGGAGTCGGAGTCGGCAAGGGGAGAGACGGCGAGGCCAGTGATCTCCGTCTTTCCATCAACATCGTAGACCTTGTGCTTGACGGTCCAGTCGGAGATGGAGATGATCTTGCCAGAGGGCTTGTTCTTGATACCGTTGTCGATGAGGTCCTGGCCACCAGGGGGAACGTCCGGCAGGGTGAAGTTGTTGTTAAATCCTTTCTCCTTGATCAGGGACGAGGCGCACTTGGGAGGGTCCGGAGAGGAGGAAGGAGCCTTAGTGGCCTGCAGGGTCTTGAAGTCGACCTTCTTGTACTGCGTGGCAAGGTTCTGGTAGTCAATGAGCAGCTTGACGGACTTATCGTCATTGACCTTGACGAGACCATAGTTGTTGTCCTCCTGGCTGTACTCGTAGACGAGACCTCCGGAGAAGACGGAGTTCATGTCGGAGCCATAGATGGAGCCAATCTCGGTGAAGGGGCGAGGGGTGACCTGGTTGCAGCCAAACTCGGAGAAGAAGACGGGCACAGAGGTGTCCTTCAGACTAGAGACGAGCTGGTCGTAGGTGGAGGTCTTGAAGCTGGAATCACCGCACCACGAATAGGAGTTGAGGCCGAAAAGATCGATGCGGCTGGGGTCCTTGGCGTCTCCGTTCTCAGCACACTGCAGGTAGTTCCAGGAGTCGACGAGGATCTCGCGCACGTCAGCAGCGGAGTAACCGACGGGGATTGCGCGGTCGGAGTGCTTGGCGATGTAGTTCTTCAAGTCGCGAGTGACGGCGCGGAGGTACTGGGGAACGAACTCGGCCGTCTGAACGTTATTCATGACCTCATTGCCGGAGAAGAAGGCGAGGGTGTTGGGGTAGCTTTTGAAAGCCTCGACGATGGCGAAGGTGCGGTTGAGGTAGGCAGCGTAGTAGCTGGTCCAGGGCTCGAAACTCGTGATACTCTCGCCGACGAGGGGAGAGTTAACGTCGAGAATCATATACATGCCAGCTGCGTTAAAGACGGAAGCGCAAGCATCATGGTTCAAGTTGGGGTCCAGGTTGTAGACGCGGATGGCGTTGGCGCCCAGGCGCTGGAGAAGGGCAGCATCGCGCAGGCAAATGTCACCATCGCTGAGGGGGTCGCGACCGTGAGAAGGGTCGTAGCCGGCGCTGCCGCCAATCTGGTAGTCGACACCAACGATCTGGAACTTTTCGCCGCCCTCGGTGACGAAGGCATTGCCCTTGACGGTGAGAGGCTTGACAGCGGCAGCCAGAGTCGCACTCAATGCGACAAGAGCAGTTTGGACCTGCAGATTGGCGCCAAATTAGATTAAAGTTACACGGTGATGTTGGTGTTGCAGCATGTCTTGGGGAAGGGACAGAAAAGGAACATGAGGGGGAGGGGGATCGACAGAATGTGGCGTCGCCAATGTACAGGATTCCGATGATGGCTCATGGGGATGTCTCTCCACATGAACCAACAGGAGGGGAACTTGGCTTGTCTCTTGCGCCCTGATCGACGCCGCGCGATGGATTGCTACAACGGTCGAAACGGTCGATTGGACCAAACGATCCAATGGAAGCGGCGTGGAGGAGGGATAGAAGAATAAAAAGGGCTACGACTTACAAGCATGGCTGCAATACTGGCAGGATTATTTCCAGGTAGTAGTGTTGGGCTGGTAGGCGTCGGGTATTAGACGTGTGTAGTCGTAGAAGTATTTGGTGAAGTCGTTATTCTTCGTTTGGTCGTGCCTTTAGTCTAAAAGGTGGGACGAAATCCAAGAGAGCGTCGAGAAGATGAATGTGGGTATTTGTGGTGAGCCAAGGCAAGGCAAGAAAAAGAGAATTGAGACACTAAAAAGGGTCCAAAAAGGAAACAATTCTTCTGTGGATTTGTGGATGTGGTTTGAGAGAGTGACGAGAAACGAAAAGAGGAACGAGGTGTGTGTGAAGTGGTTGGAGGAGGGTGCTGTGTGTGTTTGTGTGTACGGTGCTTTTCTTCCTTTTACACAGACGAACAATACAGGCGCGACTCTGTCGAGCGAGTGTTGCAGACTGCAAACAATGAGAGGTCTCCAGGCGGGTTCGTGGAGAGAAAAGAGAAACGAGACCAGGTGCGACAGACAGGCTCTGGGCTAATAAGAGGAGGCAAGTAATAGTAATAAGAAGGAGGAGCAACGGCGAAACTTGACACGGCGAGGGAACTTAGGGAAGTCGTGACATGTAAATTAAAAATGGAAAAGGCACCTTGGCTCCCGCCTGCTGGATACGATGCTCACTGCTTTTGTCTCATCTCGGCCTAGCGTCACACAATCTCTCCCACCTCACCTTTGCACCTTCTTCTCTCCCACCCTCGATGTACCTTTTCTATTCCGTACCTTTACCGTGATACTTTGCCTCAGGGTTTACCTCACGGTAAGAACGGTAAACAAGTATACTCCGTCAGGTACCGCCACAAGCAAAGAAAAGGAAAGAACCACAAGGACAATGATGTCTCTCCGTCCCATCTCGAGTCCCCCGGCACTTCCCTCAAGTCTCTCGGACCTTGAGGCTTGCTCTCACATCACCGTCTCATCTCTGCTCACCTGTCCAGCCCATCCATTGGCTCCTTTGCCTCTGCGCCCCCCCTGTTGCGAGTCAAAAACAAGTCGAATTGGTTTCCGTCTCGCAGGCGGCCTTAGCCCCCGCCCCGTCGTCGACTTTTCCAGACCAACGGTCCTATCTTTACAACCATACTTTTCGCCAGATCGCCGTCATTAGCTCGCGACTTTGCCTACGTTGTAGAGTCTGCTTTACTAATTGCCTTTCTTTCCGTTTGTTGTCGTCCAGCCACACCCGCCATAGAAACTCTCTACTCGCAAGGTCACACACACACACACACACACACACAGCCTCTCGGCATCACAATTCCTGAAGCAAGGCCCTTCTCTCACACACCTACAGGGCTGGGAAGCGTCAGAGACCGCCCCTCTCTCCACAGTCAAAAGTCCCAAACGCGAGAGAAGCGAAAGAAAGAAGAGAACATGGGATGGCCCGGACAACGCGCTGATCCGGGCGTAGACTGAACAGACATGGGCAATTCGCAGCAATTCAACGAGCAAATCAGTGGACGAGAGCGAGAGGCGCTGACTAGTCGCCCACTTTCTCCTCTCTGCATGTGCTAAAGCTTGGCTTCTCATTACTTTCCCAGCCTAAACTAATCTCCTTGTTGGTCCTCGGGCTCGTTTATCTGCAGGGCCGCTGGGGTCCATTCCCATGCTGCAGGGCTCCATCTCTTGGGCCTTCCTCTTACGAACAGACGACATGCGCCCGAGAGGCACCGTCTTTCAATAATATTTGCTGGTCATGTAAGCTGATGTTGTTTACAGTGACAGGTCCGAGTCTGCTTTCAACGTCACCACTCAGAAAGACATCTCCCGGAAGAGACAGTCCCCTTCGAAACCGTGTGAGACATACTTGTTCAAGCTTTCCTAGGACAATGCGCCCCGACTAGCCAACAGGAGACTCTGAGACACGGGGAACGGGCGAAGTGGATTGATTGACAGAACGAACCACGGCCAATTCTGAACTTTCGCATTCTTCTCCCCTTCCACCACTGAACGTATCCGATGTTTTCACCTCAGCATGGTGTCATCTCTACGCTACTTTTCCAGGGTCCGCCTGGTACATCTGCCTTTGTTGCGAGCCAAAACCGCCTCAGCGCTCGGGCAAACCGCTGTCTCTGTAACTCTCTTCCCCAAAGAAGACACTCGGGAACCCAGAGACGGTTGTTTTGAGACGATTTTGCCTTTGGTCAGTACCCAAGTTGGTTCTTTGTTCCACGCACTTCCAACCACGTGAACCCGACAACCTCCCGATCTGGCTGGCCTAGATGGCGACTGGTCCAACCGCCAATTGGAATTTTGGGCTTAGGTTTCTTGCGGCTGATTTTCTAGGCTGTGTTGGTGGAGATGACGAAGCCTTGTCGATGCTCAAAATGGTTTCTCAGCGCTGGTCTTCCACAAGCCACCGTACCTTAGCGGTTGTTCTGCGCCGAAAGTTCGTGCTACCATACGAGATCCAGGAACACAAATCACCCCGTTCGTTTGCCTCTCTTCTGCCCCCATCGACTAGTGTCGTTAGTAGCGCCCTACCAGCTGCAAGGCACGAGACTACGGCGGCTGCGGGCGGTGCATCGCATATCACGGCATGGCATGGAAAACGCGGGTGTCCCGCGTGCCGTGGAGCCGCTGGGTCCGTTGAACACGAAAGGAAATCCTCTCGCAAGTGGTACTCCGCCAGAAGTCAATCACTTTTGATACCCCATTACTGCCGTCCCCGTGACTGGCTCTTCACGACGGGGTTCAAAAAATTGCACTTGCCAGCGGCCCAGCACATCGTATTTCGGCCGGGTGAATGGGTCCTGTCCAGCACAAGTGCTTGATTGTGATAGACTCGCATCCCCCTGCTGGGCCCCCACATGCAAATTATTACCTCACTCACCAAACGGCCCCCATCTTATTTGACTCTTGGCGGGGGGAGGAATATTTCACTCACTAACCAGGGGGGCGGGGGTACGGGAAGCAATCGACCGGTAGACACGGCCCCGCCCGGCACCTTGGTTCCGTGCCGTGATCGGCTCCGACGGCCGACCTTCCCGACCAACACTCACCGTTTGTAGCATCGCCACTACATTCTTGCCTGGACTATCCGGAATCTTCAACCGAGCCTTTTGCGTTCCAATGCAGGCTACGTGGCGTCGACCCCGGATTTGGTGGCCGGGCAGATGGCCCAGGGTACTCCAGAATGCCGTGGGCCGGCAATCGAAGCCTCACCGTTGGCTAAGCCTAGCTGTCATCTTGATCTGTGTTTCTATTTTAAGCACCCTCTCACCACCGGTGTTGCATTCTCGAGTTCATTGAAGCTCTTCAGAGGCTTCACTATCATAAGATATGCAAGTCTCGGGGCTCCAGGCCAGTGCCGTATCCACAAACTCGACATTCTTGCCATTTCGCCGGCAACATCAACACCAACCACCACGATTGTGCGGCACTTCCAAAGCCTGAGAGATCAACAGCCGCCATCCAGATCAACGAAGAAACATGTGAAAGGAGTCTGGCCCCATCCATCATGCGGGGTCGGATTGGACGGGATCGTTCCCGTACTCACAGGGGCTGCGCCACGCTCTGAATGCCCTCGATTGCTATTTCATACGCTTTCAGGTTGATTGTAATTTGCTTCCAAGAACTGGGACACTTTTTGATTACGTGGCTTATCGTGACGAAGACAGGTTGAGTCTCCAGCTATAATGACTATTTCCTACTTGTGGCTGGGAGATACTTGCAGTGTATATACGTAGTATGCCAGTCGGCTATATCGGAAGATGGAAGGATGTAGGTGACGATCCCGTTGCCGTTTCCCGAGCCGTTCCCATCGATCAAACAGAGACACTGACGTAGGATTCCATCATAGATTTATCAGACAGCAGGTGGCATACATCAGAGACGAGGGCTAGAGAGTTGACGCAAAACATTGTTGTCTTTTCGCTCTCGAGAATCATCTTCGTACTTGAAGAATTCAATCACTTATCAAGGCACTCTAGCAAGGACCGAACGACTTTTTGTGATAAGTAGTAAGATCCACAACAGTGTGATAGTTTACATATCTCCTGTATAGCCCGTAGTCTATTTCAAGGGGAATCTCCAGCCTACCTGTTCGACGGTGTGTAGTCCTCTGACTCCTTTCCATATTTCGACCTTGTCATTCTGAGATCTACGCAGACAAACCATCTGTTTCCTGTGTGGCATCATACCTTTGAGCTATGTATGACTTTTCAAATCGTTATTCAAGGGTGACGAAGGCGCCGATCGCGTCCTCTCAAAAGGTAGACATGGTGGAGTTTGCGAGGAGGCGACAGCACAGTGAGACTTCGCCTCTGATGGATCATGTGTTCCACGAAAGATCCATTTGCGGTTCCAATGTAGGTCCGTCGGTAAACGATTTCGCGCCATCGAAGTCGCCTTTTCATTGAGATACGTTGTGAAGCAGCAATGTAGCGACCACCGATAGAGGCCGACAGCCTCCTGCGTCAGTAACGTTGACAATGATATTCCTTTTACGACCGGCATCAAGCTGAAACAAAAAAAGTCCTTGAATAGTTGACACGAGGTGTTCTGATTTAGTTCACATCGTCTTGTGGTCTCAGAAGGCGGCAGATCGAAGAGACGGTGTCCTGGTAAGTAGTTTCTCGTCTCCCCCCTTTGGAGAAGGGAGTGCGACGATAGAGGTTTTCAACGCTTACTACATTCCCCTGGAGTTTCCGAGCTAGATCTGGATGAACTCTTTGAAAGAGTTCACATAGTGTGTGAGACTTTAGATCTGACCTGCCTCCAATACACATGGGCATTTGGGTCTGGTGAATCAGGTTACTACTTGGGAACGACACTGGGAGAGCATCAAGGAATGGTAACGATACCCAGTAGAATTAGCAACTTGACTAATTGTATTTTTGCCTGAACATCAACAATAAATGCTGCGTCAGTCAATTGAGGATACATGAAGTACATGTTCTCTTCGAGATTCCTAACACCGTCAACGGCTTGATGTTGTACTTGCTGATTAAAGGTCGTGGAAAGTCGTGTTCTCATTGAATCC